AACTGCAGAACTGCAGTCAGCTGAAGTAGCCTGCAGTGCTGCATTTAACCACTGCGCCACCTCGGCTCTTGAACCAGATGCTGTATGAAAAACAGTTGTAAGTCATTTTTTCCCAGTGCCATTGTAACTTCAAATGGTCACTAAACAGAAAAGGCTGTAAGTCGAGGACTACCTTCAAAGGATTCTGAAACATATACATCATTCCTCAACTTTGAAAATACGTAACTTTATTTGAGATATGTGTTAATGTGCCGCCTTCTTACGAAATGAAGATCAAGCGTTACTGTATTTTTTGGAGTATAAGACGCACCGGAGTATAAGACGCAGCAAGGTTTTGAAGAGGAAATTTTTAAAAAAAAGGTAATTTGCACTCTGCAGGCTTCCCAAAAACGGCCCATTTTTTGTGAAAACAGGACTTTTTTTTTTAAGGCATGAATAGCCCTTAGGAGGCTTATAGAATGCTCCTGTGGGGTGGGAGGCCCCAAAAACGAGCAAAAAATGGCCCGTTTTTTGCTAAAACGGACCTGTTTTTTGTCAAGAAAAAGGGCATGGATAGCCTTTAGGAAGCTTATAGAGTGCTGCTGGGGGGAAGGGGGCATTTTTTGCTCATTTCTGCCTTCCCCAGCCCCCAGGAGCACTCTGCAAGGCTCCTAAAGGCTATGCACAGCCGTTTTGATGAAGGGACGGAGTTTCGAGAGGCAAAAAATGTTGTATTCAGTGTATAAGAAGCACCTAGATTTTCAGCCTCTTTTTTGAGGGAAAAGGGTGCGTCTTATACTCCGAAAAATATGGTAATTGTATTTAAGCTGTGCTTATTTAAAGTACTGCAATATATAACCACTGATATCTGTTTGATTAACTGGTGTTTTTTTTTTTATTACGTATTTTCTCTACTCCAATCCCCCATTTTCCACATATTATTTTTTTATTTCCTTTTCTTCCCCTCCTTAACAGCGAAAAGGATTTGGTGAAACAGGCAAAAACCTTAAATAGCGCAGCGAACAAATTAATTCAGAAGCCTCACTAGAAATTTAATTTTGGGCGGCCGATCGCATCGCCATTCTGACATCCAAGCTCCCTTAACGAGCGAAGAGCAAAAACATCGAGAATTTAGATGTCAGAAAAGTTGACGTGGAATTTGATGGGATTTTTTTTTCTTTTTAAAAAAAAAAAGTTTTATTCGGAAATAGAAAAATTAACTTCTGGCTTTCCTTCCCCCCCGTTAACGCTTTGAAACTTTATTAAAATAGGAGCAATTTGATCAGTGTGTACTCCAGAAAGAAGAAAAGATAAAATCTGATTTGTGGCTATGTACATTCAATTGTATACCCCCCCCCCCTTTTTTTTTTGTTTTTTTAGCCTTTACAACTTGTTTCAACTTGAAAGGGGAAAAAATTCTTGGTTTTCCCTTTTGTGAAGTAGATGGGTGTGTGCGTGTGTGTGTGTGAAAAAGCAGACAGAGAAATTTGGAAGCCTGCAGGAAACCACGATTTTTGTAGAGTTGGGCATCCCCAATTGATCCTAAGCAGGACCAAGGTTAGAACATTTTCGGAACATTTGGGCATTATTTAACCAAAGGTTTGTCTGCACACTGCAGCCTTTGCTACTACCCGAACTTTAGGCTCCGGATATTTTGTAAATTGAAATTAATTTGAAAGGTTGGGGGCTGCAAAGCACCTTCCTTAAGGGGAATATTCCCATGCCCAAGAATAAAATCCTCCCTTGAATTGAAGCCGTAGGAAAAATTATTTGACAGAACTCCATCTGGACTCTCCACGGCTTGCCTTTTCGCTTGGCTTGCAAAAACCGAGAACAATTCCCTCCGTCCCAATTCCCTATTTGCGAGAATTTCCTTTTACGGCTACCTGCCCATCCACCTGAATGTCCAAAAATCCTTTTCGTTTGACGTAGACCCCTGGGCGGATAGGTATTAAGGAATATTCAGAAGACACACACACACACAGAGTTCAGGTGATGCAAATCACACCAATTTTGATTGCTCAAGAGTTGTAACCGGAATTCTTTTTTTAGCAATCCGAGGACGAGCTAAGATAACAGGCCACTTTCATAACAGGGGGAAATGGTTTATTCATCCCCCCTTTAGGTGACATGGATGCAAAATCTAGCTGTTTAGCTATTTTTTTTAACTGTTTAGCCCTTCTTTCCATTGACTTCTACCTCTGCCTTTACTCCCTAAAAATATAGTGAATTCTCATTTCCTGGTTGAATTTTTTTAAAACGTGTCTCTTGCCTTCCCTTGCTCTTTAAGAAAAGACTGAATCATTGTCCCTTTCATATATATCAGAGGTGGGTTCCTATCTGTTCGGCCCGGTTCGGCCCAGTAGGTAGTAATTCGGCCTGCCGTGCCCCAGAACCAGTTCTATTGTTGGCGCCGCCATCTTGATTTTTGGTTCTGCGCATGCACAGAACAAGCTTCATTGAAAAATGTAATTTTTTCCCCCTTTTGTAACGTTGTGCGCACGCGCAGACTTTTTCAGGTGCAAAAGCGCCCGTGCGTGGAGCAAAAGATTTTTTTTGCACGCTGAACCAACAGTAATGCCAGCAGCAAAAGTAATTCGGTCATTGTTGAAAGCTCTCTCTGGCCACTATTAATATTTGATTCGGAGGGATCTTAATCAAACAAGGGATTTGCTAGGAATTGCAGTGAGAGAGCATCTAAGCCTTAGAAAGCCTACTAAAAACACCATGTTGTAGCTCAACAATGTATTGTTTTTTTCTTGTCCTGATTCTGATGAAACCCGAGGGGATTGTAAGAGAGTGTGTGGAGAATTATTAACATTTCTCAAAACTACCCAAACTATTTCCCTTCCCCCCCCAAAAAATCTTTAATAGTTGTTCTTCAACCAAGTCAGGGGTTGGGACCGGTTCATGCAAACCGGTAGTAAAAAGGCTACTCGTTCCCCCGAAAATGAAACCTGTTCGGGCGAACTGTTTTTTCCGACGATCAGCTGTGGCGCGCGATTTATATTAGCTAGAAAGCAGGAATTCCTGTTTTCTAGCTAATCTAAATCGCGTGGCCCAGCGGATTTCCCCCCCCCCCTTCGCTGTTTGCTTACCTTTGCAGGCGTGCTCGGTAGCAGACTCCGCCCACCCGCCCGGACGTCATCACGCCCGTTTTTTTACACTCTGCACATGCGTGGGAGTTCCCGCGCATGCGTGGAGATTGAGAGCATACACGCTCCCGTTGTTACCAAACCGGTAGCAAAAGTAAATGGATTTCACCCCTGAACCAAGTGCCCTCCAAATGTTTTTCAAGCATTCCTAGAAAATACTTTGGGCTGTATTGATTGACGGATTTGGGGAAGCCAAAACCGAGGACACGTCCCTGTTTAACGGGTGTGTGTGAGAGAGAGATAAAAGATATGTTCTTCTAAGTTCCCACTAGGGTTGAAATAGTTTCATCTTATATAAACCACCTTTTGCTTGCTCCAAGAAAATGGGAACATGCAAACAAGAAAATGGGAACAAAATAATAATAATAATAATAATAGCCTGAAGTGGAAAGGCAGGCGTTGTCATTATTTTTGGAAGGACAATTTGTTCTATCTGGCCACCCTCCCAAGTGAAGCCTTCACCCTAAATATTTTCTCCCCCCTGGTTGGTGGATTTCAAGTAGCCCAAAATCAGTTTGTGTGTTGTGATAGTATCCTTTGCCCCCTCTCTTCTCGTTGAGCAGCCCCCCCCTCGAAATAGTCTGGGAAAACCCTAAACGAACAGCCCACAACTTTGCCTCCGAACTGGAACCCCTGCGTGTGCTTCCCCCCCCCCGACGTAACAGTTGTGAATGAGGCTAGACAAACGCACTAATCCCCTAGGTACTCCTTGACGCAAGTTCCAGTTGTATAATAAAGCTGCAGTGTAACGTAACGAAGAACCCAAGACCTTTTTCACATTACTCTGTACTTGAGGTTTGCTTTGACTATGGATAATAAAAGTGATGTTTTATGTTTATCATCTTAATGACTGTAAACTGTAGTTATAGAATAAAAAAAAATGGAAAAGAGAAACTCCTTCTGCCTGGTTCACCTCAACCATTTTATTTATTTTTTTAGTCCGTCGTTAGATTTTCGTTTCTCGTCCCCTTCTCGTCCCCACGCTCATCCCTCCATCGCTCATTCAGCCTTTCCTTTTATTTATGGTTTCAATTTGGTCTCCCCCCACCCCCCTACCATAGCTTTTGTTTTTTATCACAAGTTCATGTGGCTCATACCCAGATTGCAGCTGTCCGAGCGGGAGTGCCAGTCTCTGCAGGAGGACAATCGTCTCTTCAAGGAGGAATTTGGAGACAAGATCGACAGCCTTCAAGTCGAAGTGGAGCAACTTACAAAGCAGCGGTGAAGACAGAAAACGTTTCCCCCTTCCTCTGGGTATTTTTAGTTGGTGGTGTCGTGGCCCGCCAGTGGCAGCAGATTTGGACAGTGAGGAGGGTTGGGGAGGAACCTGGGCCAGTCCTGGAGTCTTGGGAAGACTCTGATGAGGGCTCCGTGTCGGAGGCAGAGAGGGGGCCAGGGCAGTTATCAGCTGCCTTCAGAGTCAGACATCAGTGAGGCAGACGAACAGCTGGAGCCTGTTCCCAGTGCGCATATGTGCAGAGATGCCAGATGAAGGGAACAGCTAAAGAACAAGGGCGACTTGGGAGTAAGGCCACAGGTGGAGGGTGAATGGCCCCTCCCAGAGGAAATAAAAGAGGAGCGAAAGGGGAGTGGAGTTTGCAGGAGACAATTAGTTCGTTTCATTGGTTCATGACTCTCCAAAACTCTTTGCCATGTTTTGCAGATATCGGCCTGGCAGCTCAATTAGTTATTGTCTTTGAGCTCAATTAGTTATTGTCTGCTGCAAACTCTGCGTAGGTGTCAGGAAGGGCATCCGGCCAGTAAACACTTGAGCTCCATTCGGTTGCCCCTATTTCAACTCGAGGCAAGGAATTACAGTGGGGAAAAAGTGATCCTGTATCCTTCAGAGTAATATTTTTAAATGCTTTATTTGTTTCAAGGCCTATATAAATTGAATATCATAAACTGCTGCTGGGTGGTTTACAATGCAAATTAAAAAACAAATACTGTTAAAATGAAATAAGCGAAGGGATACATACAGTTGAATGATATTTACTACAGTGGCACACTGCAGAGGACGTTGCAAAATGAATCCACAGCAGAAGTTAAATATGAAATTGCAGAATTTTATAATGACAGTTCTTTATCTGTCTACCAGCATTGGGCCCCAATGAAATAATTGGGATTTATTCTCAAGTAAGCAGATTGTATGTTGCATTTCTACCTAAGGCGATCTGTGTAACACTAGGAATGGAATAGCTCAGTGTTGAATCATGCTTAATCCAGAAACCCTACATGACTTTTCTTGGGGTTTTGCATTTTGAAGGTTGGGGGTCATTAGGTTTTAAAACTGCTCCCCAAAACAGGCAGAAACCTGGTGAAAATTGTACACATAAGGTACCTGCATGTTGGATTCAGGATCAGGATTTAATCTGGGACTTCAACTCCCAGAATTCCCCAGTCAGCAATTCTGTTAGTTGAAGTCCACAAGTCTTCAAGCTGCTATCAGGGTTCCCAATAGCATCGAAAATTAAATCAGAGTCCAAGGCAAAGGATTCCTCAAAGTTCTAATTTATTAAGAGAGCCATGTTGGCACATCTGGGAAAACCCGAATCTGAAAGCTTCCCGGTTTTCCCCACCCAGTTGAAAGTTCAAGATCTTGCCCCCACACCCACAAGTCCATCACGTGGGCCAATCTTCCACTGCCACGCTGGTAGCTTCCCACCCATCCAGTTCCGGCTAGGTGCAGAGACAAAGGATGACCTTGAGTTTCGAAGAAGAATGTTGTTATGGCTACATATCACCCAACTCCGTATAATCCCCCACCCTCCCATTTTCCCACAATAGAAAATGAATAGTAGAAAGTGTGGCCGGCCTGAAGTCCAAAAGGAAAGGTGGCTCGCAGACCTGACAGCTACCCAGTTTAGAGACCCCTGCCCTTAAAAGGATCATCATGTCAAAAAACACATACGGTTATTAACAAATAGCAGAGAGATGATATCAAGTCAAATGGACAACAGAATCGATTTCGAAACTTAGTGGTCATGTATTGGCACTGTTCAATTTACTCTTCTATTGTTGCTCGAATTAAAATGGTCATTTATTTTTTTTAAAAATGATAAGTTCTAAAAGGAAAAGGTGGGAACCAGTTTACTTTTGGGATGTGCGTGTGCGTGCGTGTTATATTTAACATATTTTCTCCTCCTTTTGTTACCTCAGAGGCCAGCTTGAAGTTGAATTGAGACGAGAACGGGAACAGTGGCTGCATTTGCCTCACGGAGTTCCAGAGAACAAAAGCTTGTTCAGCCCTACCAAAGGCATTCAAAAGACCGCATCAAAGGTAGTAATAATTCTTGCTTTTTTGCTCTATATCTCACTGACTTAGAATAGAATAGAACAGAATAGAATAACAGAGTTGGAAGGGACCTTGGAGGCCTTCTAGTCCAACCCCCTGCCTAGGCAGGAAACTTTACACCACTTCAGAGAAATGGTTATCCAACATCTTCCTAAAAACTTCCAGTGTTGGAGCATTCACAACTTCTGGAGGCAACTTCTGTTCCGCTGATGAATTGTTCTAAATGTCAGGAAATTTCTCCTTAGTTCTGACGGCTGACTCAGCCTTCCATTCCTCCATAAAATGAGGACTCAATGTCGGCAAAATGCCAACATTGTAAACCGAGAGCGCTTTATTATGAAGCAGTATATAAGTCTTAAGTGCTAAGTGCCACCGCCATTACGCAAAAGTAATTCCATCGTGAAAGGTTTCCACCCCTTGTTTCAGGCGGCGTATTCAAAATAAAGACTGCTTTGGGTTATTCTGCTCTGGTTCTTCAATATATTCCTTGCTTTGATAGGATTCAAGCGACAGGCACATAGGTGGAGATTCCCGATCGAGAACATCAGTGAAAGAGAACACAGTGCTTTCAAGCAGGTATGGATTAAATCCAAATCCAGAGTCTTTGGCTTTTCTTAAACAAGCAGACCAATATAATGATGGTGCTTATAAGTCGTAAGTCATTTTGGAAGCCTTTTTGTGATTCCTGGGGCTGTGTGTGTGTCTGTGTGTGTCTGTGTGTGTATACATATACACATACATACATACATACATACATACATACATACATACATACATACATACTAACTGATGCTGCCCGGGTATTTATTTATCCCAACCTTCCTTCCANTTCCCTCACTTCATTACAGGGAGCAAAAATGATCCCATGGGTGAAATTTGTGCCCTTTTTAGTGCTCATAGAAGGTATTTTGTCCCCTCTTTAAAAAACATCTGTTCATATTCTCTTTTTGTATTTAGAAGATTTCATTGGAACACTTTTGTTTTTAGGAGTTCAATGTCAAGTCCAGTTGGTGGAGTCCGGAGGGGATGTGAGGAGACCTGGAGAGTCCCTCCGTCTCTCCTGCCAAGTCTCTGGATTCACCTTCCGCAGCTACGGGATGACCGGGTGAGACAGGCTCCAGGGAAAGGAATGGAATGGATGGCCGACATACATACAGGCTCATCCCCTTCCACATTCTACTCGGACAAATTCAAGGGACGCTTCTCCATCTCCAGAGACGATGTACCTGCAAATGAACAGCCTCAAACCGGAGGACACAGCTGTCTATTATTGTACAAGACGCACAGTGAGAGGAAGTGTCATTATATATTCTCTCATTTCTGAGATATGATTAGTTTATTTTTAGTTCCATAATGGTTCACTGAAAACTGGGGATAGATGTGACTTTTCCTTCATGCTCTCTCTCCGGAGTAGCCTTTCCAAAAATAATAATTGTATGTTCTTTACCTCTCCCTTTGAATCACTTTGGAGAAGTGGTGAAATTTTGCAAGTCTTTATTTTAATTACTCTAATAAAACATGCCATTTCTGCTTTGAATTTACAGTCAGAGAAAAGAAAGAAATAGTTTGCCTTCACTCTTATGAAGACTGGAATATTTTTTGATAGTCCCCCCTGTAAAGACAAGGAAAACTTTGAGATTAATGCACTGAGTGGTGCTTTTATCTGAAGCGATATGTAAATGGAGGCAAAATTTCTCCTTTAAAGGATCTACTTGATTTCTCTTTTCAGGCTAAACCCACCCACACAAAGTTTGTGCACTTTCCTGAATTCTTTCCTCTCAATTTCCTTCCATTCATTAAAGGGAGCCAAAATGATCCAATGGCTGAATTTGTTGTCCTTGTTAGTGCTGTTTCAAGGTATTTTTCCCTCTTTAAAGAATTAATTTCATTTTTTATTGTTTATATATAGATTATTTCATTGAATCACTTTTGATTTTAGGAGTCCAGTCTCAAGTCCAGTTGGTGGAGTCTGGAGGGGATGTGAGAAGACCTGGGGAGTCCCCCCGTCTCTCCTGCCAAGCCTCTGGATTCACCTTCAGCAGCTATCCCATGAGCTGGGTGAGACAGGCTCCAGGGAAAGGCCTGGAATATTCTATATATA